CCACCGGACCCCCCCCCCGCCAAAAAAAAGAGATGCACTGTACTTATAAAATGATTTGTTGCCAGATGGCATTGGCTCACACCTGTAATCCTAATTAGTCAGAAGGCTGAGATCTGAGGATCATAGTTCCAAGCCAGCCCAGGCATGAAAGTCTGTGAGACTCTTACCTCCAATAAACCACTAGAAAACTGGAAGTGGCACTGTGGCAAGGGGTAGAGTGCTCACCTTGAGCTGAAGAGTGCAGGGACAGTACCCAAGCCCAGAGTTCAAGTCCTGCGACTGGCAAAACAACAACAACAAAAAAAAACATAGTTCCAAGCCAGCCTGGATAGTAAAGTCCCTGAGATTCTTGACCAGCAAAAAGCCACCAAGTAGAATTGTGGCTCAAATGGTAAAGCATAACCTTGAGCAAAAACTTCAGAGATCGTGCCCAGGCCCTGAGTTCAAGCTCCAGGACTCCAAAACTCCTGTATAACTGCTTAAATGTAATAAATTAAAAATAAGAACAAAAGATAAAGAAATTTAACCATCAGAGAAAAACTATATAAATCCCATTTTTCATTTTGAAAATAATATGGATGACTTTAAAATTTAAAACAAAATAGGTGAGAAATTGAAGATATCACTTACTTTTTCAGTAACAAATATTACAACAGGATGTCTATATGCCATGAAAAACTTTGTCCACCTTGAAAAAAAAGAACAGAGAAAAATTACAAAATGTCAATATCAACTGAAATATTCTATCAATCAAAACTTTGACCCTCACCCCCTTTCCTTCAGAATTATTTTGGGGCCTAGCATGCAGAGGAATACATTTGGATCTTATTTATCTACTTCATGCCAACAGAGGGAAGCTAAAAGACTCATAACTAAGATGGCATAGCCTTGGATTGTGCCAAAGCAGTAGTCAGAGCCCAAAAGTTTTCCCCAGACAATTGCTCACACTAAGAAATGCATGGTCAGGCTGGGAATGTGCCTTAGTGGTAGAGTGCTCGCCTAGCATGCCTGAAGCCCTGGATTCAATTCCTCAGTACTACATATACAGAAAAAGTCGCAAGTGGTGCTGTGTTTCAAGTGGTACAATGCTAGCCTTGAGCAAAAGCTCAGGGACAGCACCCAGGCCCTGAGTTCAAGCCCCAAGACTGGCAGAAAAAAAAATGTATAGTGTCAGTGTTTGACACAGCTGTCCACCACACTGTTCACTTACAAAGTACAAGTCTTTGCTTTGACTTTACCAGGTAGACCCAAAGAGGCAGCAAGTCAACTCAACAGGAAATGTGATGAAATAAGGGCCAAAATGTGAAATCATGAAGTAGCCTCTATCACATGAATGGGTCATTTTTCAGTCTATTCCAGAATCTGAGAAAGCTGATACCTTAAATGATTTCATTACAATCAGCTATACTTTCTCCACGGGACAAGATTGTGACTTGGAAGTCAGGCAGTACAATAGAACTAAAGAGAGTGGTCATTGGAGCTATCTATTTTATGTTCAAATAACCACTAGTTCTCTATCATTCCAACAGGACTCTCAGGCCTAGGGTTTCCTAAATCATCTATTACCCCAAATGTTATTTTGGTCAGTATTTACTTATTTCGGCTGTTACTAGGACTAAACTCATGACAATACACTATTAGTTGTGTTTTTTTTTTTGCTCAGGGCTGGCTTTCTACCACAAGTCATACCTCCACTTTTTGCTAGTTAATTGGAGATAAGAGTCTCTGGAATTTGTCTTCCCTTGCTGACTTCAAATTTAGATCTTGTGCTGGGAAGGTGGCTCAGTGGTAGAATGCTTGCCTTGCATGCATGAAGCCCTGGGTTCGATTCCTCAGTACCACATAAGCAGAAAAAGCCGGAAGTGGCACTGTGGCTCAAGTGGTAGACCGCTAGCCTTGAGCTAAAGAGCTGAGGGACAGCGCCCAGGCCCAGAGTTCAAGCCCCATAACCAAAAAAAAATCTGGATCCTAAGATCTCAGTCTCATAAGTAGTCAGGATTATAGACAGGAGCTGCCAGCACTCAGCAAATGTTGCTAACCTACTAGATTGGGGGGCGAGGGGGGGGGAGGGGCATGTGTGGAGACTGAACCAAGGGCTTTGGATGACTAGTTCCAGGTTATTTTCATTATGCTTATAATCAAAACTACTTCTGGACAAGGCAAAGAATGTAGAGGGAAAATATAGCACATTCTGTTTGAGAAAGGGTCTTACTATGTAGCCTGTCCTGAAACTTACAGCCTAAAGCCCAGGCTGACCTCAAACTTGAGATCCTCCTGCCTTTGACAGAGAGTACTGAGATTATACAGATAATGCCTATCTTAGTAAAAACTTCACTTTCAAGTACTGTAACTTACTTAATCACTTCTCCATCAGAGATGACAGTTTCAATTTTCTGCTGTGGCTCTGCCAGCAAGGCCTCTAATCCGCGGACAGCCCCTTCCTTGAACAGGACCCATGGCTCTGTCCCTGTTATTGAGTGTATCCTGTAGACCTCAGCCGACAACTGAAAGAAGTATTAGAAATATTTTAATTTTCATTCTAAAACAATTCACACAGTAGGACAAAGACATTTATAAGACTTCTGGAGACAGGTGCTGGTGGCTCATGCCTATAATCCTAGCTACTCAAGAGGCTGAGATTTGAGGATTGTGGTTCAAAACCAGGCTGGCCAAGTCCTGTGAGACTCTTAACTCCAATTAATGACCAGAAAGCTGGAAGTGGAGCTGTGGGTCAAAGTAGTAGAGCTCTAGCCTTGAGCAAGAAGAGCTTAGGGACAGTGCCCCATGACCAACAAATAACTATAACAAAATAAAATGAAATGAGGCTATATTGCTCCAGTTGGCCTCAAACTTGCAATCCTGCCTCAGCTTGGGATTACAAATTTGCATCATTATCCTTGGCCCAACCTAGTGAAGTGATTTGTTTCAGAGTAATCCATTTAGGACCAGAAGATTTGAACTTATCCTCATTTTATTAACAAGTTAACTCATGTTCTTCTTTTTTTTTTTTTGTCAGTCGTGGGGCTTGAACTCTAGGCCTGGGCGCTGTCCCTCAGCTCTACCACTTGAGCCATGGTGCCACTTTTGGTTTTCTGGCAATTTATGGGAGATGAGAGTCTCATCGTCTTTCCTGCTCAGGCTAGCTTTGAACTGTAATCCTCAGATCTCAACCTCCTGAGTAGCTAGGATTACAGGTATGAGACACTGGCTTCTGGCTTAACTTATGCTCTTTAGGTCATTAGTAGAAAAGGCATACCTAGTCACAACTTTTTGTTTTGTTTTGGTCAGTTGGCTTGAACTCAGGGCTTGGGAGCTGTCCCTGAGCCTCTTTGTGCTCAAGGCTAACATTCTTCTTGGGCTTTTCTGCCGGGACTGGCTTTGAAACGAAATCCTCAGATCTCAGACCACTAAGTATCCAGGATAATAGGTATGAGCCACCAGCACCTAGCTGTCACAACTTAAAAACAAAACAAAATAAAACAAAAAACCCTATGTACATGAGAAAATTGTAGGGACTACTCTACATATTCTAAATAAGGTCATTTGTTCTCATAAAAGACATACTCCAAACCTCCAAACTCATGGAAGTAAGTATAAATTAGTCATTCATGACTTACGTAAATAATCTCACTTTATTATAAGTATATGTTTTCTAGGGGCTGAGAAGGTGGCTCAGTGGTAGAGCATTTGCCTTGCATGCTTGAGGCCCTGGGTTCGATTCCTCAGCACCACATAAGCAAAAAAGAAAAAACCGGAAGTGACGCTGTGGCTCAGGTGGTAGAGCGCTAGCCTTGAGCTGAAGAGC